CAAATGAATGTACATTTTCTGTTAATGAACAGCAAAAGGTGCATATGTATTTTTTAAATGATACTGTATTTCATATTTTTGGGTAAACAAAAACATAACTTAGGAAAAACACATTTTTTGTCCAGGAAGTATTAGTCCTAAACTTGCTTGCCCATTGCTTAGTAAGCTTATAAACTTATATATGTAATTTTAGTTACTTATTTATGCATGATCATGATCATTAATCATGTGAATAAAGAAAATATCATACCCACCCCACAGAGGAATTTGGAATTTCCGAAGGGTAGGGGGTTAGAGAAAGAACAAAAATTACAGACTGTTGTATATGGAAGAAAATTGGAATTTCCAGGGGGTAGGGGGTGTCTTAAAAAAATTCCTCTGTGAGGGGAGTATGGATATTTTTTGGAACTACACAATACTCTTATCATTTATTATTTGTACACCAGAAAAATGGAACACACTTGATACCACCCATGAGGTCCTTAACCCCTGTCTCGATCGGGATCACCACCTTATCGTGGTGAGGCAGTTTGTGTGTCCCAATGACCCCTAGAGCTATGCCGGCGGGAGTCATGTACTCTTGTTAGGGTCACCCATGCCGGACAGGTCGAAGGGTAGGGGCCAGACGAAGAGTGATCCCACAAGGCCCTATCAGTGCTAACTGAAGTTGCCCTACCAGGCTGGGAATCATCGTCAGACAGTGCAAAAAATTGCCAATTAACCTGACAGAGTCTAACCTTGTTGCCATTTATCAGTTAGCTGTTCTCTTGCTGAAGGTTGTGGGTAAGGATATTAGATGATGGCTTTCTGCAGATTTTATGGGAGTGCGCTGATGACGTAAATGACAGTCACTGTGAAGGTTAGTGTGAGTAGCAGTATAAACTTGATTGAACACATTATAGGCCCAGTCCCTCAGCATACTCTGAATACATTAATACTTGATTGAATACATTATAGACCCAGTCCCTCAGTATACTCTGAATTCATTATAGGTTTATCCCCACCTCACCCTATAGAGGTTCATCCCCACCTCACTCTATTGAGGTTTATCCCCACCTCACTCTATTGAGGTTTATCCCCACCACACCCTATTAAGGTTTATCCCCACCACACCCTATTAAGGTTTATCCCCACTCCTCTCACCTTTCTCCAAAGTCCATCGCTTGTCTTTTCCGGCCTCAGGCATAATTTAAAAGTAGAGTGCAACCATATACCATAATAATGAAATAAAATAAATGTCTTTACTGCTATTTAGTTTTTGTGCTATTTAATTGTTATAAAAAGGTTTGCAATCTTTTGTAAAATAACAAAAAATACTTTGTAATCATTATGTGATGCAATGATAGTTCATTTTAATGTGTCCAATATCATAATTCAATCTTTCCATTTTTTCCCAAAAAAATCCATTTTGGTCCTTTTCCAGTTCAATACATAGGGAAATTTTACCTCAAGAAATATCTCTCAGCCAAAGAAAGGCTTTTGTGAGTCGTGTTAGCATGAAGGAAAATATAACATGAATACCAAAACAGCCCAGACAAATTAATTGGAGTCAATTCACTCTCCTTTTGGTCAACTGGGTTGAACTTTATTCCTCAAAATAAATGATAGCGGCTAACAGACGACTCAAGTGTTTCATTGATCATTGGTTTGAGGCATGCTAGCAAACAATGGCTAAATAACCCTATAGCATAGGCTAAGATGATATCCCATTTTCACAATTTTTTGGGGAATGAAACGATGAAACAGACAATGCAAAGAGACTGAAACAAAAACACAAACAAAGAAGCAAAAAAAAAACATAAATACAAACAAAAACAAAAAAAAAAAAAAAAACATAAATACAAACAAAAATAAAACACAAACAAGGACAAACAAAAACAAAAACACAGAATCAAATAAATACAAACAAACTAAAAAGAAACAAAACAAAAACAAGGAAAAGCAAATCAACACAAACAATCAAATATACAAACACAAACAAACAGAAAGACCAAAATGACAAGGACAAACAACAACACAAAGAAAAGACAAACAATTAAACAAATAATTAAAATCTATAAAAGTGGAGAAAGCATCAACCAAAAACTAAAAAAACTAACCATAATATTCATTCTTGTTACATCACAGGTCAAATGCGAAGAACGTGACATCAAGCAACGCCACATAGACAAGATCAACACTTTGACCAAGCAGCTACACCCAGCCACTTGAAGAAGACTCTGCAAATGACATCAACTATATTGTCAAAACTCTCAGTCAACGATGGCAAGACACAAGTGATAAACTGGACCAGTGTAGAGACCTTGAAAAACCTTTATTCCCATGAGGATTGTTGGTTGGTGGCGTACATCAAAAATAGTTTGACTGCAAACAAAAGACCCCAAGAAGTGCACTTCAAATAACCTTCTTTTTAAACTAATTTACTGGTCAAACATGTAAAGCACTAAAGCAAGGCGCCAAGGTATTTTCAAAGTGTTATTCAAATTTGAACCTTACAGCCTTGACTAAGTGCTTTGTATTTGAACAGTGAACCAATGTATGGAAAATGGCGAATAGTCTTCTTCCCATCGTCCCGTCCCCAAACAACATACCCAAACAACAGAACCCAAGACTTCTGGGTTTCCTTACTTCCATTGATCAAATTTCCAAAGGTGGATGTATAAGAGACGCCTTAGGTTATGTCGAACTTGTTATGATGAAAATAAAATGTATGTGAAAAATTTTTTTTAGGAAAGTTTAATTCCTTAACATTAACAACTCCACAATAAAATCTCTATAAGAATCTTATAGAGAGGCTTTGCACCATCACATGATGGCAGCAAAATAATCATTTTCCCCTGTGAGACTTAATTCTTTCTCATGTAAATCAGATCAAACCAGATTCTATTGTTTCTCCTGTAATAACTGGTGATGATGTAAAGCCTATATAACCTATATACACCTTGCACTGAATCCCAAGAGGAATGGTTCTGGGAGACAAAACAATGGATGATTTTTTTTGGCATAAGAAAAGATGGCCTACTTTTTTGTCCCCCAAAACAATTTCTCTAGGAAAGCCTTCCAGGGATTTTTTTCAGAGGTGGTAAGCATATTAGAGGCTCAGAGAACTTAATAAATTTTCCTGATTTTTGGGGAGGGGGTCTGAAAAAAATTCCTCCATGGGGGTAAGGGGAGTATGGATAATTTATGGAAGTACACATTCCCATTATATTATTACATCATTTTATATTATTAAAGCAGACTTACCCAGAATCATCACATTGTGCTGCATAAACTAAAAAAAGAAGGACAATTTAGAACCTGGAAAAAAAGTATATTTTATAACAATAAACTCAACAAAATTACTTGATTCTCATTGGACGAGGAGTACAATTAAATCCCAAATTGTACTCTGTAGAGTCACAATTAAGTTGCTCAATTTTGTTGAGTGTATTATAATTAAAAAAAACTTCCTTTTTTCACGAGGGTAGTACTTAATAGCCAGTGGCTAACAAACCTGTGGCCCTCATTCCGTGATCGAACTGGAATTTAGGAGTTGATTTTTGCGGAGGGAGGAAAACTGGAGAACCCGGAAAACCCTCAAAGCACAGGAGAGAACCAACAAACAACTCTACTCGTATACAACACCGAACCCGGCGAAGCCGAACCCAAATTATAATAAACAAAAAATCCCACATGTACAATTCGGAAGTTATAGATACTTGTGATGTTTTGAAAGTTCTCATATTATAAAACTTCACACATGTATGTGCATGTAGGTATAAAGTATAGGTTTTATTACAGTGTAATTTATTATTAATAGAAGTAGTATAGTAAAAGTAGTAGTAGTAGTAGTGGGTGTGCCGAAAACCAACCTATGGGCCTATATCACACGGCGGCCATGTTTATTCTCATGAGAATAAAAACCTTTGTTTCCCCAGCATAAATTAATTCTCAAGCACTTGAATTTGAGGCTACGCGTGGTGGAATCTATTGTTCAATTCAACATGGCTGCCGCGTGAATAAAGCCCATGGCCCTATCTATGGCCTACCTTCGTTTTCCTTAATTTCATTGAAATATCAATCTTTTTTACAGTATTTATTTTCAGAAGCCCTCTGAATGAACATTAGCCGACAATGGCAGCCCGGCAGCTTTTTTTAGGACCACAGGAAACCCAAAATTCTATTGCAAATATGCATTTTTTAGCAGCACCCATCTTGACTGTTTGTGATTTATTTTATTATGTATAAACGTATTTATGGATTTCTTGTTAAAAATAGAGTGTTTGGGTTGTGTGAATGATGCATCTCTGTAAAATGTCAAAAGAAGTAATTTGATATATTCATATAAAAGTAGTGTTGTATCTTATATTTATAAACCTCCCCTTTAGCGCCAAACAAACTATCAGACAATCAATTTTTAGTTTCAAAATGCAGGCATAAACAGTTTGACCTGAGAACCCAACATGAAAGTTGACAGTAACTTGTTTTTTTCATTTTTGGAACAAAACTTATAAATGAATAAATCCTGAATATATCACAGGCAATCACGCAATATCATATAATGAATATACTCTTTACTAAAAAAGAGATCAATATCACATTACTTTAATTGCAGTTTATACCAAAAGAGAAATATAAACAATGAAATATAAACAGTGAACTCACCTCTTGCTCCAAAAGTCAAGAAAGACAAATCTGCTGACTCATCAAAACTACTGGCTCAAATAAATGCACAGGAAGCCCAATATTAGTTACAATAGAAGTTTGGGCTCCTGCCGTGCTAACAAGATAGCTGTCGGGCTGCCATTGTCAGCTAAGATTCTTTCAAAGGATTTCTGGCAATAAATACTGTGAAAAAGATTGATATTTCGGAGAATTTATAAGAAATAAAGGTAGGCCATAGATAGGGCCATAGGTAGGGCCATGGCCTAGGTCCAGGGTCTAGAGACACCCAACAAAAATGAAGCTCAAATAACCAAGGTTCTCATCTTTCTTATCTTGATTACAATGAAGCTAAAATAACCATGGGCGTCTTTTTCTTACCTTGGTTATTTCGATGCCAAAAATGAAGCTCAAATAACCATGGTCGTCTTTTTTCTTACCTTGGTTATTTCGATGCCAAAAATGANCAAAAATGAAGCTCAAATAACCATGGTCGTCTTTTTTCTTACCTTGGTTATTTCGATGCCAAAAATGAAGCTCAAATAACCATGGTCGTCTTTTTGAAATAACGAAATAACCAATCATTTTCCCTTGTATTCATTCCTTGGTAATTGAGGAATGAAAAATGAAATTAAATAAACGAGGTTCCTTCGTATTCTTACCTTGTTGAGGAACGAAAAATGAAGCTAAATAATTAATGTTCTTTTGTATTTTTACCTTGGTTTTTGAGGAACGACAAAAGAAGATAAGCATAGTTACATCACATTTTTACCTTGGTTATTGGGTATTCAAAAATGAAGCTAAATAACCAAGGTTCCCTTGTATTCTTACCTTGGTTATTGGGTGACCAAAAATAGTAAAACTATGTATAACAAATGTTCCGTCGTATTCTTACCTTGTTTGTTAAGAAACGAAAAATGAAGCTAGAAACGGTTCCTTTGTAATTTTATTTTTGTTATTGGGGACCAAAAATGAAGCCATATATAACCAATGTTGCCTTTTATATTTACCTTTTTTTGGACCAGGCCATAAAACCATGGTTCATGGTATAATTTTCAAAATTCATGAATGTTAAAAAGGCATGAAAAACACCAAAAATCCATCAAAACCGTGGGTAATAGTCCATGCCAAAAATGACCCATTTTCAACATTTTATGAATAATGCATAAATTTGAATAAGTTATGAAATATACTGTGACCCACAATGAAGGAAAACGCTTTTAATGCCCAAGATTTTAAAGTAAAACTCTAGTAGTTTTAGAGTGATTGGGAATGAACGTCTAATGGATTTTGTTTAATATTTAAATATTGTTTAAAATGAAATAAGAATTAAGAAATCCGTATAGAGGCTGCACCATCACGTGATGGCACGACAATAGTCTTTTTCCCCTAGGAAACTGAATTCTTTCTCATGTAAATCAGACTAGTAATAAAAAGATATAACTAGCTAAAAACTAGTGTGAGCTGCGTCGGTGTTTCTAATGAAACAGTAATGATGAAAAGGTAAATTATACACCGT